GACGTACTTCAGAATTGCTGATCCGGTGTTCCCACCAGATTCGGGCAATGCTCCGAAGACATCGATGGTCAAACACTGAAAGTCTTTTGACGTCCTCGGCGCGCAGCGGCCAGGTTTCTGATCCACATAGTAATATGGAGCGCACCGCAACATTGTGAACTCGATCCTTGACAGAGAAGCTGATGTCACGCCTACGCCACAGGTGACGTAGGTTAGCAAAAGCTGCTCTGGCCTTCCCGATCCGGATGGAAGTATCATCTTTCGCCAAGAACCTAGTACTTGGCTATCGAATGGTTTTTTGAGTAGGTGCCAACCCCCCCGGGCCTCATTTTTGGAGATGCTGGCAGTGTGCAAACGAGCTGAAACAGTCTTTCTTCCCTATCGAGCCCGCACAAACCAGTATTTACGTTTATGTTGTGTCTTACAGCCAATGCTCAAACTTGATGACTAGCGAAGGTGACTGAAAGTCTGAGTACTGTGGCACGGTGGATGAAGCTTGAGGTGTTACTTCTAATTAGTTCGGTCGTCACACAACAGGCTTCTGAGACCCACCCAGAGTTTGTCTGGGAAACTTACACACAGGCAATAAATTATGATCCGTCATTCTGCGGCATACCACACTGCTTCTGTTTTCAATGTGCAGAAAGCACTTCATGGATGGTCGGGAGATTCAGAAATGTAGATTCTTAATTTCATTTGGCATTCAGAGTCGGTCAGATCGATCAGTCGTAGACGTTTTCGTCTGTGATAGCTCGAGTTCCTCCAGTTTGCGCGGATGAAGTCTGACTTTTTGAGTTCATATCCAGACACCGCCAAGGATACGCACTGCTTATAAGAGCTTCTTCCGTGGTTTTACAATATGGTATGAACAAAGTCAAATAATTGCACCAGTAATGAGAACATACCATTCGAACGAGAATGTTGTGGGTACTGATAAAGTCAGGCCGTCTCGAAAAGTTATCGTTGTGCTGTAAAAGTTCATAAGGCCAGAACAAATATTAGTCCGTCACTCACTCACTCACTCACTCACTCACTCACACGATGAAACAGGACTTGACCATATTGACAATGGAGACAAATTCATTTAAGTATAGGTGGAAACGAAATTCTCTGCTGGTGGTTGGATGAACCACGGTGGGTTTAACCGCTATACAGGGATCGTCTGTAGTCAGGGGTTTCGAGAGGACAGTCCTGGTTAGCTTGTGTGAGTTTTCGGTCTGTTAACATCAGAACCACCATCGCGCCCATGTAGTTTCAGTGTGGAACATCGAACTATAGTGGTTCTGACAGATCACGAGAGCATCGGATGGTGGCTTCTGTTGGTCTATGTGGTAATCTGGAGTAAGAAAACATTATTCCAACCGCAAGAGCCCTGTGTAAGTTATCGTGTGACAAGCCATGGGAATCGCTGTACATCCATTGCAAAGACGTGGGAGAAGACGGTGATGACTTGATTATGAATGTGTCTAACGGGAAAAATCACCTTTGAGATAGCCTTATTGCTTTTCGAAGGAAGTAGTCACTTTGACTACTTCCAGTGGCATCCTACTGGTTAATATCAAGCAGAATTAAAGACAGCGGGATACATACACTCATCTTCAAATTAAGTTGGAGTCGACAGGAAACTCAACTGTGTACCAGCTGAATCTCTCATCCATGGTATCCGAAGTGATTCATCTTACAAGGTGTCGAGCAGGTGAACAACACGAAGTCGGGACTTCGGGAGCCCAATTTCAGAGTGCACACGTGGTTTAACATCTCCCTAGGTTGGTTGCCCGTCCGAACCCCCCGCGAAGCTCACATCAAGTGGGTAAGAGATGTAGGACTGTGAATTCTTTCCTTATTGTTTGTCACGTATATGATCAGTCCACGGTTAATCGGGATCAGTCAGTTTCACGGTCTAAAGTATTCCGCCCCGGAGTTAACAGCTTCTTATGCTATCATTTGTAATGTCACATATAACTGGTTTTGCTCTGTTTCCACGCAAACCACAAGTTTCGCTTACGTAAGTCAATTTTGTTAGTAGTAACCTCTTATACTACGACCGGTTAACATGGATGCATTCCCACAAGCCCACTTCTGAAAGACATGCTCCGAGGCGTCGCAACCCAAAGGACCAGACACTTAATCGATTACCCACTCAGTGGCTACGATAAAGCGGCTGAAGTTTACCACACACACACACAGATTAATCCCCAAATATTTCGTGTAAGAGGGCCTTGGGCTGGCTCCCCATTAAAAAAACGACGTAGGTGCCCACTAGTGAAAACATCCCGGGTTGGAAAATAGGAACATTTAGAAGGGAGGTAGCGTTCGACAAAAGGGAGTATAACCAAAAAACTCGCGGAAATTAACAAACTAACCGACACCAAGTGTAAGTGATGTTGTGGACGACAGTCTCCTTAATGCCTTCTTATTACCGTGCCCCCCCTCCGGTCTGGATAGCCGCCCGATCGCCTGGTGCACTTGGCCAAACCAGGAAATGTCAATGAACGTGCGAACCGGCTGATCTATTGATCACTGTCGCGTACAGGCGGGTCAAAAAAGTGATACTAAGACTACGACTCATTTGTCAAGGGCGAGTGAATAACAACCAATGAAATCTGTCTCAACGAAAACGGTTATTCCATTGGCTGTTATATAGTCCCGTTACGTTCGGAGCTGGTTCTCCTAATGAGTGATCAGGCACAGACAATCATATGCTAGAGAACCTCTGCTTCCCGGACCCGGAAAGACCCTCATATCATCAAAAAAAAAATCACTTTGTGCAATAAGCCCTGTATTCCTAATCGATGTTACGTAATAAATGTTCACTTTTGCAAACTTTTGATCCCACGACTGTTTTCGATTCCCGGTCAGTGACCCATTGGTTGTTTGATGTAGGCCCCATCACCAATGAGAGCCTAACGTTACTGATTCCCCATCAATAACTGACTGTAGTGACCGTTTATTCGTCCACTGTTTAAACCCGTACATTGGTCGTTATCGATCCGGAACCCTTAGGATGAGTGATGTGAAGCGATACCGTTTCAGACCATCCCACCTTTCATTTTCTTATCAAATGCTTCCCCATAAAATCGTGAATTTCCTTTAAGGACAGAGTCAAACCCAACAGTTCCTTAGTCAGCAACTCTACTATCCCTTTCCACTTTGCGTTTCAAAAATCACTTGTGCAATAAGCCCTGTATTCCTAATCGATGTTACGTAATAAATGTTCACTTTTGCAAACTTTTGATCCCACGACTGTTTTCGATTCCCGGTCAGTGACCCATTGGTTGTTTGATGTAGGCCCCATCACCAATGAGAGCCTAACGTTACTGATTCCCCATCAATAACTGACTGTAGTGACCGTTTATTCGTCCACTGTTTAAACCCGTACATTGGTCGTTATCGATCCGGAACCCTTAGGATGAGTGATGTGAAGCGATACCGTTTCAGACCATCCCACCTTTCATTTTCTTATCAAATGCTTCCCCATAAAATCGTGAATTTCCTTTAAGGACAGAGTCAAACCCAACAGTTCCTTAGTCAGCAACTCTACTATCCCTTTCCACTTTGCGTTTCAGCACCAAGTGCGGACAATCTTCGTGAGCGGTCTTCCCCTGGATGCCAAACCCCGGGAGTTATATCTTCTTTTTCGAGGCTTCAAGGTAGGTTCTCGTGGAGTCACACGCACGCACGCACGCACCTTGTTTGGTACGCAGTGCGAAACAGGCAGTCACCGTAGCCGTTAAGAATGGCCAGTTCATCATTTCCAACTTTTTCGCTTGCTGAATAAGGACATCTAAGCTATCAAACATCGGCCCAGATCTTTGGATGTTTCCGCTTATTTTCTTTTGCTTTCTTTTATTGTTCCTTGATAGCGGTGTTAGCCTGAAGACACATTCATCGTAGATGTTTGCTTCCTGTTTGTTTTTTTTCTCTCCGTATTGCTCTTGTTATCCGTACAATCATCTGACCTACATTTGCCGCAACTTCGCTTGTCCATTACAAGCTGGTGCCAGAAAAACAAGACACGTGATCGCGATAGTCACACAAATCGATAATTTGCGACCAGTGTTAGAAAAAACGACTGATGAGAGCTTTGACAAGAAAAAATAGAGTTGGTAAAACCCCAGTATTATCTTATTTGAGATCACCTCAATTTTTCTCATCCATCACTAATCCATCGTGCCTATAAGGAATTCTGATATGGACATATTTTTATCAAACTCGGATTCAATACTACTTGTCAGTTTGAGAGTCACTCGGCTGTTTTCTATCCGGCCAAATGCATCAGGTGGTGAGAAGTTGGTGTACAGATTGATCTTTTTCTGAAGCCTTGTATAGCGGAGCCTCTGACAGGCTTAGTGTAATCTCAGTACATGCACGTGACCCAACCTTTACGTTCAGTCTGCCTCAAACTTCATTTGAATTTGTCTGTAAAGGATCAATCACTGTACTATCTCAACAAGCGGTGTTTCAGCTGGTTTAGGGCGTATCTCAAACGCTCGCCTTTATCCTGGTTGCTATGTTGGCTTGAAGGGGGAAAACCATAAACAGACCTATTGTTCCCCTGCTAATAGGAAATAGACACCTGCCGGAGTAACTACACAGTTTCATGACTAAGTCTCATAAAACGGTCTTCTCCCACCTGGACAAGTAGGTAGCCAAGTTAACTCGTAGACGGTTTGCCTCATATTCCACATTCGAATACACATTCAAAGATAAGCTTAATGGAACAGGAATCTCGTACGGGGATGGAAGGTGATTTTGGGTTTAGGCAACGATTACATGCATCAGGAGGGGGGGGGGTCGATAATTTTAGGTTGAACGGAGTGAGTCACATGACTCCCGCCTAAAGATCATCCCATGGTTGGTGTCTTGATATCGGCTTTCGATTTTTGACAGAACCCCTTATTGGACCGTTTGACATTACAACTTCAGCACGTGAGGCAGCTTTTTCTGTCTGGTAGGCACCGTAGAACAGGATAACAGGACGCAGTAACCGTAGGGTAGTCGTAAAAGTTTAGCCTGAAAGATCCCACAGAAGCTTCCAATTGTTGAACCATTTTACTCTTTTCAGCATCAACAACCATGGGGCACCAAGTTAATCAGGGGCGAGATTTGAATATATGAGAGTAAGCACAGTCAACGTCTGAGCTTATCACTGCACTTTCCCTGCATCTCACGGGGACACCCTAATCCACACATTCGTGTTTGTGTAGTCCAGAAAATTTCTGCTGAACCCAAAAAAGCACTCATCGGGACAACATGGATACGTGGTTGAGATTCGGGCTAGAGCAAGGGTCTTCGTTGAATAGGACGGTTTGTGTGCCGAGCCGACTGGTGGTCCCTTCAGGATCTATTCCGCCACCGGCGCGATCGAATTTGCACGGCATCTTCCAGACTGCAACACAGACTGAGCATCCTACGCACCTCCAAAAAGTTCGTCCTAGGTAGGGTAATTTCATATAAGTCTTCGATTCCAACCGAGCCTCCCAGTCTATTTGATGACAGATGAGAAGAGGATTTTCGTCTTTTCTAGAAGATTTTTCAATATTGCTCGTAAGTGCACTTGTGAGATTGGGGACTGCGGCTACCTCACTCAGTTCAGTGAGAGAGAGAGGGAGAGAAAGAAAGCCGTATACTCTAACCCGTTAATATATTCACCATATTGTTGCGTGACTTAGGACCACAGGTATCCATTGTGTGTGAAACGGCTCTGAGCGGAGCACAATACAGCTCGGTGTAGATCCTGACGCAATTATACTGCTACTCACAGTTAGCTAGTAGTTTCGTTGCAATCACACTTGCGCTAGTTATTTCCAGGGAAATTACTAGCTGCCCATCATGGGGCTTCACTTTTGTCTTTGGTTGTTCATAAGCAGTGAGCAAGTGATTTCGGCTGCGCAGTGATCACAAGACTGCGCCACAAAATCAATGTCTTGAAATGTACACGGTCGGATTAAGTCCTAGGATGATCGCTTACATTTTGAAAATGTTTTACCTCTCACTTGGCGAAATTCCGGTTCTTGCTTTAGCTCTGACAGAGTACACTTTGGACTCGACCGCTAATGCAAGACTGGAATGCAAAAGGTACAAAGAGCGCTATGCAATATAGGTCAAGTGAAAAGTATCGCTTACTATTGGACGAAACCTGGACACATTCCTCTACCAAACAGCTCTGGAGTATCATTACCTCACTGGCCCTGAACCAGGTGTCCTTGGGGCACGTGACCAGATACTCATTTCACATCCAGTTTTGAGGTTTTGGTGTACCGGTCCGTTTCCAATTGTCCGGTTTAAAAAGCAACCATAACTTAGATGTATCATGGCCGTACCAACGAAACAACAACCATACATTTGATGGCCGTGCACTGTTTACTCATGATAAGTATTGATCCAGCCAAACATCTTAGTTGAACTGGATATTGCGGATGAGAAACAAACGTTTTTTCAACATACGCAAAACCTTCGATCAGCCCCAGCCCTCTGGTCACTGGCTACATGATCACGTGTTCAACTGCCACAGCGCCACGTGACGCGATTAGGCGCACATATGGTCAGGTAACACGTAGCTTCCGTTGTTCTTTAATACAAGGAAGAATGACAAACAGGAATAAAAGTCCAACTGACAGTTCTGCATGATGGTGATAGTTTTGATGGGGCTCAGCTTGGACAGTAGTACGTATCCGTTTGTTCTAACAGTTTTTTGTAAGAATCCGCCCGACATTTGATAGTTCTGAAATTAATCGATATTTCCTTAATAAATAGGTTATATCAATGTATGGTTTAGTATTTAAAACTACTGTACCTCATAATTTTATCGATACAGGTGTGAATGGTTGCCCGGAATATAACCAACCTGGAGCATGAATTGGATCACTTGTTGCTAATCTGTTTTCCATCGTAGATCAGCAAATTCCGCATTCATAACAAGGCCGTTTCGGCTGACTAATTGGCACGCGAAGGTTAGAGTTGGTTTATCTATATTGACTTATTTTCAGTGAGTGGCTTCGCACTTTAAGTATGGACCGTGCTGTTCTTACCCCAATTCGAGACGAGTTTTCGGTTGATTGTCTTCTAAACCCAGACATACTTGCAGAGCAAGTATGCTGTATAGGCCACCTTCCAGAATGGAACATCATTGGTTGCCTTTTCAGAGTTTCTCACTAGAAGCTATCTCACTAAGTGTGCTGTTATCAATCAGTCGTTTATAGAGAGTACAGTGTTTCTGAAGGAACGCTACAAAGAACCTTCCCATATGGAAGGCCAAAAACTCCCTAGCCTATGCTTGAGTATTTTCACAACGAAGGGGGTGGCAAGTCCGATAAAACTTCGAATTGAAGTTTATTTCCAATCATCCAGTTCTCTTAGTCAGAGCTGAATGATAAGGTGGGGCGAGATGGCCCAATTGGTTGGAGCGTGAATTTACTGACCGAAAGGTCCGTGGTTCGAATCCGACCTCTGCCTCTCGACTCCGCCTGTCTAGGCTTGGACAACCTGGCAGTATCCCAGCCCTCGTGCTTCCTTTTGCTTTCTGCTTTTTCTTAGTCAGAGCCACTTATCAATCAAAAAGAAAGTAGTGTGAGCAGTTGTCGTAACAAGTATGCGTAGGCTGTATAGCAAAACTCTGCCATAGCAACAACCATTCTGATCGAACCCGCCTATCTCCCTTGTGAAGCGAGCGAACACCACTCAGTCACAAGGAGCGACCGCTAACTTCGATCAACTATGACCTGAAATCATCAAACCACACCGACCGTCTAATCACTTTTACTTCTTTATCGAGGACGTTTGACGTTTCTGAAATATGCGAAACTCGGGTTTCGCATGAGATCTAATTTGATCACAGTCCAGTGCGTTGTTCACTGGATTTGTCCCACTTGACTGCTGCATCTCAGTGATATCACTTATGGGGTCCAGTGACGCTTATTCGTCTGGTTTTTTGAAACAGTTTTCATGCTCCAACGGGGCCATTGTTGAGTTGAATGATCTTCACTAATCAGCTCAACATTATCAATCACCTGGTTGTACAAACTAGCAAGGCGTCCAGGTGTCTTTCTAAGCTGTCTCGATAAAACGATTAAGACGACTCTATAGAAATTGGTGGCAGTGCCAGTTGACTCGAGGGAAAGCAAGCTTGTCGTGAAGGGCTCCAGGGTTTTAATGCTTCAGGATGCCTATCAAGTCATCCATGGGAAAGTTTCAGGATGTCTCAACATGAAAAAGTTATAGTGTGCTCCTCTCACTAGTTGAAAGTTAAATCAAGGTTTTCCTGGGATGCCGAACCCTTACCAATTAATCGTACACTAATGAAAGAAAGAACTGTCTGTCTTGTGAATCTGTTAACCGTAGTAACATTTTGGGTCACAAGTGTAGAGAATTTAATCAACTGCCAATATTCTCTGAAACGGTTATTAACGGGAATCAGAGTTGTCCGCATACCAGGCAGTTTTTGGATTGCTCAGACATGTGCAAGTTTGTCCAGCTGTCTACAGTCCGCTTTAACAGCTGGTAGATGTTGGGGTGGATGACACGACTCATTGAAGTAGTGAAAAACGAAAGATTATCTTTGAACTCATTCTCAGATTTTGCGGTTTTTACAGTATCCTACGGTTTTCTACGTTATCCCACGTGATCACTCTTTTTGTCTGCTCTCTGTAAC